CATCTACTTCTGACCCATATGCCATCGCAAATGCCTGGAAAACATATAACAGTATATAAACAAAAAGGGTTGATGTTTAGCTTTTTTCATAAACGTAATGTGTTAATGTATCTTAATCAATTGCACTTTATTTGTTAAACTTACCTCGCAGAGATAATGCCAAACTTGAAGTTCATCATCCGATATTGATCCATCGAGAATGAATACAGCAATCTGAGCCCAGAGTTTGAAGTCTTGACCAACGCAGGATCAATAAATTTTGACGAAACTGCTTGGCAAACGTCTCGAAAATGCAGAGAAATCAAATGCTTCGATCCTTGCTTTAATATGTTTCTTCTCAAGAGGATGTAAGTTTTTCATTGTTTTCCTGACTAAGTACTTTACAGGTCCAAGAAGGATGGTATGAAGAACCTCCACAGGTGTCTGCCTACAGTGTGATAGTTAAAAAACACTGAAACTTTATATATCTATCTACTGATTCACACTATTTGTTTATTATTATATATAGCACTCACTGGGTTGGCCCGAAGCTTAATAATGTATCAAACTGTCCTCCTTTTTCTGTAGTTCCTGTAGACTTACGTATTTCCTTCTTCGCTTTTTCAGTACTATTTTGTTAAGAATTAGTAAAGATCGTTATTTATTCTAATATTTGTTCCAAGAAACTTTTTTTTTAAGTTCGAAAAAATTACAATGCGGTTTTATTTGTTTGTCTCAAAACTGTAGTATACGTTATATTATAGTGTACAGTCTAGCTTACGTTGCATTGTTTATCCTCTGGATAGTTGTTTGTATTGCCTGTGTTGTTCTTAAAGTACCAACTTCAGTTGAGGTTTCTTTTGTTGCCTGTGAAAGAAGATAATGTATAACGATGAGCTATGAACGTTTTAGCTTGACTAATGAGTGTTATATCAAAGCACAGACCACAAAAATTGTTTCTGAAACCAACGTTAGATGAAATTTTATGTATATGATAGTTAATTGATGGTTAACCAGTATACTGTGCTAATTGATTAAGAAACTTTGATGTATGTCGCATATCCGACAAAAATAGTTAGCAGAACTACCCATATAATGAGCAAATTCCGACGCCCTTGGGTTGTCGCAAGCGACAAACAGAATTGGACACTGGGCAAACACTTGACAATCGTTCGTAGCGTCATACATCATCATTCCCTCCTCCAGACCTGTAAACACATTAAAAGAGGTAGTACCCACTGTATCCGTAGTAATATCGACCATCATGCAGTATGTAGTATGATTTATTTAACGTCGGAAATGTAGGAGTCGGATGCCCAATCTCCCAAGTCAAGGACTCATGTTTAGGCGCACGACCTTGTAAGTTCAAGATTAGAATCACTCGCTAAGAGGAAGCACGCTAACCACAGCCGCCACCCATGCTCCCCTGCATCCCTCCTTTATAAAGATAGATATCTTCCGTACCCTTTAAATCCTTTGCGATTTCTTTTCCTAACGAGATTGAATCTACCAAGTTACAAGCACAAATCAAGTGTATATTGCTAAATTTTCTGACTCCTTTTTTTGGTAGACCAGCAAGAAACATTGAGTATGATTCGATCTGGTTACACTTCTTACTCCTGTTTCCGCTTGTCTCGTCAGAAAATGCCTGCATTAAAAAAGCTCACTCAATTACGTCAAAGTAATTACCTCATCGCAGAGTGGGACAATCTCGTCATTAACTTCCTGGAAACAGATGTTGTAGTCAGACAACATTGTAATGCTTTCTATGGGAAGCTCTTCATGGTCTTGTGTGATGGCCAACAAGAAAGGTTCCAGAACTATCGTTTTGGTTACTTTAACGAAATATCGCAAGGAACCATTGACATTCTATATTAGATATAGCGTAAATGGTAACATTTTTTAAGTCGATCTATCTTTAGGGTTATGGAATATAAATAAATAGGATTATATATATTCTTTTATGTGATTTATGCTATAATTTAACCTTCATAAAGAACCCGTTCATCTTTCCATGACGTACATCACCATTCCTGTAAACGACTAAATCTTTCACATAATATGTGTTTCCATTGATCGAAGCCGAGGATGTTTGGATTGGCCAATTGAATTGTAATTGATGGTGTTGACTTCTGCAATTTGATGATATCCAAAGAAGCGATCCAATAGAAAGGATGTCCGTTTCCATCACTCTTTGAGCGTGAAATAAAAAAATGTTCGTTAAACTCGCTTTTAATGGCATTATTTATTGAAAAGGTAAAGCATTGTAGCATCGAAATTTAGCATCTCAACGAAAATAAAAGATTAATTCATTACTAAAATTTAAAGCTTATTCTTACGTTATCGCGTCACACAAACAAATCTTTCCAATGAAAGACGATCTAAAAAGCTTAACCTCATGACTCTATATGATAACCACACCTTTTTTAATAGGATACAATCTTCTAAACCATCCACTTTGAAGGATAAAACAGACGAAACTCCAAATCTGATTTTGACTAAAAAAGTAACAACTAACATTGCTACAATCATTTAAGGTCTGTCAAATATATTATGACGTCACAACTAATTTGACTTGGGCTTTCATATGTGTTAAATAATTTTTACCTTCGGCCTCATAATACTGTGAGCATAACAGTACAAAAGAAAGAATTTTTCGTTTGGGAAGGGGAAAGAAATTGTCTCCCTCTCCATGATTCTCATCGCATACGGGCGCAAATGATTCTTCATCCAATAAAAGGTCTCTCAGGTCGAGTGGTAAAATTCCGCCATTATCATCATCATCATCATCAAATCCATCATCTTCAAACACATGAAGATCTGATCCGTCATCATTGTCAAACTATCATCAGATCTTTCATCGTCAAGGCGAACCTGCTGTTCGTCGTTTTGCCCAAATAAGCGGTCAACCTTAAAAACGTCGAGAATATCATGCGCTTTCTCCGCAATAGCAAACGTATTCATTGAAAGTGCATTTTTTGCAGCTAACAAACATTGTAAATGACCACGCGAAAAAAGATGCCTTTCTGATGCTTCTTGCGACTCAAAGTTTATATCACAGTCCACAGTTGTTACTGCCCTTCTCCTTCTTTTCATAATCAAAAATAATTATATTTTTAAGCTATAAATGATCATCTTTAGGCGGAAGGTGATCCTCGACAAAGCTCACAACAAATCGGTTGATTTTCCGTTAATTTTTACTAAAAAATTTGAATGACCATATGTTTGCTATTGGTGGCTAAACTGCTTGCTTTGAACTTTGCCTCCTTATTAGGATAACAGAATGAAAATACTCTGTCATGATTGGTTGATTGGAAAATTGAGCCATTGTTTTAATTTTCCCGCTTAAACAATTGGGTGCGTGTGTTTGAAGCATTTGAGCGTTTTCAGTTTTTTTTTCATTTGCTTCAAATAACGCAGAAAATCTGAAATGTTTTGTGGTCAATATCAGCCATTTGTTGACAAAGATCCGGAGACGCAGGACATCAACAATACGTAAGTACTCAAATTTACTCACATATTTACACACATATTTACATATTTACACACATATTTACATATTTCATACCTTTTCTAGTGACTCATATAAAACAGAGTTGACGGAGCTGGAGATGCCAGTAAGACAAGCCACAACAAGCAGACCGATGCCACCGTGTCTTGGTCAGTAAGGTCTTTTTAAAATTAAAATGGCTACGTATATCCGGCACACTCGTCGTCAAATAATTTATTTCGTTTATTTATGTAGGCTCGTCATTGAACAGCAGACACGAACTTTTTACACCACAGCGACAAAACACATGCTTGCCCGGTATCTATTTTTTGTTCCTTTTCCTTTTTTCTGTGCTATTTATATTGAATAAATTCCACCTTAATTATCATTCTTTTCTGCAATGCCCCCATTTTCAATCAATCAAAACATAGATCAAAATCATCAAACCCCCGGCTCATAAACATAAAATGGCTGCTGCCTGCTGGAAATTGGCTTTATAAATTTTATTTTAATATCCCGTCTTTATCATGGCATGGCATGTCCTCACGAACAAGCTGATGGATACTTTCTATTTATCATGGAAATCGCATTCTTTTCAAACTTTTTTTTATGATTTCCTTTCAATCAAATGTTATTTTTCTTAATCTTGTTTTTGCTTTCTTTCTTTTTTAGAAAAAGCCGATCGTCCACAAGTTGTAAAAACTTCAAGGTCATGTGTCGTCTTTGAAACGGTCTGTTCTGGCATTGTCTGAGATCCAGCAAGAGATTTTGGACAACGTCAAGAAGATAAAGAGAGCGGCTCAATCGGAGAATTTTGATATGGCAAATTGTTCCCATACTGTAAGTTTATAGGTGTTGGGATTCATTATACTGGTATACTTTTGATATACCTTAGATAGAGTTGACCCTAGCGAATTTTTTGATGATAGTGTTTATAAAAAATTAATAGGACAACATCCTCCGACTTCAAGGGAAATTCTATACATGTAAGGGGAGATTCACGGTGGAATCCCCTGAGAAAGAGGTAAGTTGAGTCATAATCTAGATATTTTCTCTTCCCCCTCAAATGGATTTATTCATTACAGTGCATATGGCAGCTTAATTAAAACCTTGAACCATCCAATTTGCTGCCAATCATGATTTTTTATGTCATTTTTTAATGCATGAGTTATGCAGTGAACGTAACTTCTACAGAGCATTGAAGTTAGAGTTTTCCAACTCTCCATCAGGCCTTTCTACTCAAGAGTTAATGCTCAGGTTTAAGAAGTTTGAAAAGGCCAATTATTTAATATTGGAGAAGCAAGGAAAGAAGAAAGGTGAGAGGAATTTTCAAACCATTGAGTGATTATAATGATATATGCATTATATTTGTTGCATTATTCATATTTTAAATAGAAAGTTTTTCTGGGTTGTGGGCTGCAACCTCCCATAACTTCTATAAACAAGATGTTCTCACCCCTAGAATAAATCAAAATTCCCCAATTTTCTGCATAATCAATAGTCGTACAGCAGATAACTAAAAGATCGAATGATGATCTTGGATGATGTCATGATGGTGAACAGACGTGTGTTTAAGTGCTCTGTCTATATGAATTATATTTTTATGTTTGTGGCATTGCTTGTCGTATTTGGCAATGAAAAATCTTATACTGAAACCAATGTGCCATATAATATTACACAAGTTGCTAGAAATAAAATTGAGCAAACGAATTTATCAATTGTTGCTCAAACTGAATTGAATTTCATCAAGCATGTCGAAGCATCTAAACTGGTGAGCGCCGTCCCAGAGAGGAAAAGATCTAGTAAATGTAGATATATAGGCAGGTGTAAGCCTTATTATCCAAACTCAATAAAAACTTTTCGTCTAATGCTTCCATGTGGCGACGTAGAGTTGAATCCTGGACCAAATGTCATAAAGTCAAAGAAGGAGAAACGTCAGCCATGTTGGAAATACCCTTGTGCTGAATGCCAGAAACCGGTAAAAAAAAATCAAAATGGAATTTTATGTGTGGATTGTTCGCGATGGTATCATGCTCAGTGTGCAGGTATTTCAAAGAACATGTTTGTTTCGTATTACTTGAACCATCCTGATGAAGATTGGCATTGTATTAGTTGTTCAATATGCAATCCCTCCGACTCGTTCTTTGAGGACTTACAACAAGGCAAGGAAGGCGAGCTTGACATGTCAAATACTCATAATACAAATTCAAATTCAACAACATTGTCTAGCACCGAGTGGTTTAACATGAATATAAATGATTATTATAAAAACAATTTAAAGATCGGCCACTTAAATATAAACAGCATCTATTCCAAAGTGGATGAAGTCCTAAAATTATTAGATGAATGCAAGTTCGATATCCTTGCCATTAGTGAAACTAAGATCGACGCTTCAGTGTCAAATCTGTTACTTGCACACTCTAATTATCGTATCATTAGACGTGATAGGAAAAATGGTGCAGGGGGATTACTTGTTTACCTACGCTCAAATGTTACAGCTCAGCGTCGAATCAAACTAGAGCCAGAGGGCATAGAGGCAATATGCCTTGACGTTAAAGGCCATGGAAGTCAGTGGTTTATGCTTTGTGTATGCTATCGATCACCAGGGAAATGTAAAATAACAAACTTTATCTCCTCGTGTTTAGTCGCAGCTGAAAGGATGTATAACAAGCGAAAAGAGGTTTTATTCATGGGTGATTTCAATATGAATATGCTTGATAATATAAACGAGAATCCTCTGGGTCCAAATAAAGATCTATTAAACTTCTGTTGTCAACTTTGTTTAACCAACATGATCCAAAATCCAACTAGAGTGACAAATACAACGAAAAGTCTCCTAGATGTAATTCTAGTTTCCCACCAGGAGCAATTTGCGATAAGTGGGAATATGCAATTAGGTTTAAGTGACCATGACCTTGTGTACATTGTTCGTAAACAAAGGCTTCCTAAACCTAAAGCAAAGTTGATTGAATTTCGATCGCTGAAGAATTTTAATCAATCTGCTTTTATTACTGATCTTAATAATGTACCTTGGGACAGCTCTTACGTATTTGATAATATAGATGATGTCTCGCATCACTGGATTTCCTTGTTTCAAGAAGTACTTGATAAACATGCTCCTATGAAACAAGTTCGACTGAGAAGTAATCAATTACCTTGGATTAATTCCGATATACAGAAACAAATACGCATAAGAAACCGATTGTACAGAAAATACAGGAGGGTCTCTAGTAATGAAAATTGGATTGATTATAAAACTCAGCGTAATCTAGTTACAAATTTAAAGAGGAAAGCTGTTAAAGATTTTTGTGCTGAAGCTGCTACCACATCGAACTCAACTGTTGGGTTATTTTGGAGAAAAATGAAACCATTATTGCCAAATAATAATCCCAGTAACACAGAAACGAACATACATCTTATAGAGGATGGGAAATTGGTTTCAAATCCTAGCACTATATTTAATGAATTTTTCACTGCCCCCGTAATCAAGGAAACGATTTTGAATATGTCTGAGCAAGATTTTGTGAACCATAGTAGCGTGCAGGCGATCAAAAATCGATCTTTTGATCTCAATTTCTCATTTAAGCATGTTAGTGTAGAGTATGTTGCTGATCTATTGTTAAATCTAAACGAAAAGAAAGCTTGTGGTCCTGATGGTATCACTCAAAAACTGTTGAAAGCTTCGGCACCTGCAATTGCTTTACCTCTTACCAATTCATTCAACTATTGCATTGACAAATGCACCTGGCTGAGTACATGGAAAGAGGGAAATGTTACTCCAGTCTACAAGAAAGACGATACTGTCAAAAAAGTGAACTATAGACCGATTACTGTGCTATCATGCATACCAAAACTTTTTGAGAGAATTAAATATGATCAATTATATGGTTCGTTTTGCCCTATCTTTTCCACTAATATGTCTGGTTTCTTGAGCGGTCACTCGTGTGCAACAGCACTAATTAAATTGGCGGATGACTGTAGAAGAGCTCTCGATCAAAAGAAGGATGTTGGGATTGTGACAATTGATCTGTCCAAAGCCTTTGACTCCATATGTCACAATCTTTTACTAGCTAAGATGAAAGCCTATGGAATGCAAGATCAAGCACTGCAGTTAATGAGATCTTATCTCATTAACAGGAAGCAGAGAGTAAAATGCAATGGAGTCCTGTCGGATTGGCTAATGTTAAAATGTGGTGTGCCCCAAGGGAGTTTATTGGGACCTTTACTATTTAACATCTTTATCAATGATCTCAATTGGCGTGTCAATGATACATCACTGCGACTATATGCTGATGACACTACCCAATATGCATCGGACATATGTCCCGCCATACTGGAGTATTCGCTTAATTCCGAATTTCAAGTCTTATCCCACTGGTTTAAGGAAAATCATTTGCAAATAAATAATGGGAAGACAAAGGCAATGATCCTGGGAAAATCTGAGTGCTTGTATGATCTGAAACTTGATAATCAAATCATAGAAGTTGAAGAGTCGTTAAAAACCCTTGGCGTGACTTTAGATAAAGAACTAAACTTTAAATTACATATAGATGAAGTTCTGAAAAAATCTTATGGAATGATTGCCGCCCTCCAACGTATTAAAAGAATGGTACCGACAAAAACTTTAACGTTATTATATAAAGCCTATGTTGTACCCCATATGGAATATTGCTCTCAACTGTTTATTGGTGTTAATAAAACATCGAGTAAGAAACTTGAAAAAGCCAATGCATTTGGGCTGAGAACAGTGATGAACTTAGGTAACAATATCTGTTACAACGAACTCTTGAAATTAGCATCTATGCAAACATTAGAACGTAGAGGACTTGAACAATCTCTAGTTTTGTTCTTCAAGTGTTTTAAGCAGGGAGGGCCTGCATATATTTCGGAGTTATTTAAACTTCGTATATCTCCCTATAATCTAAGGCATAATGGCCTTAATGTTGATCAAGAAAAGTATAATAGTCGTTACTTGCATGACTCATTTAGCTATATTGTAGGACATATTTGGAACAATTTGTCATCGGCTGTTAAATCTGCCTCAACGTTGGCTCAATTTAAAACAGAACTGAAACATTGTGAACTGATTGGGTGTCAATGCCAATCTTGTTTATAATCTCATAACTAATAATTTGATTTTAATTTTAAGCAGTATCAAATATTTTAGTATAGTGTAATATAGATTGTTTAATAGTGTAATATATATTCTTAATCTTTTATTGTATATTATATCTAGGTAAATTTATGTCGTGCACTTTAACCATGAGCCTCTGGCTCGGATGATTGGGCAACCACATCCCGTGCTAACGACTTTAAATAAATCATTTATCATTTATCGAAAGTATTTTCATATGACTTAATTGTGTGTCTTGAATACAGTACTAGTCAACTGCTTGCAAATAGTAGCTGTTTCCGCGTAAAATGACACTGAAGCGAACATAGAATATGTAGGTTTAATTTTGTAATACTTCATTAGTTTTGCTCTCTGTTTGATCCATATATATATCTGCTAAAAAGATTCACCCTCTAATTTTTTAAGACTGCAGATCATTAGGAAACTAGAGATATATAATTACTTGTAATTCTGATTTGCTTCCTTAATTTCTCCAATGTATTAACTGAATATAATCTGATAAATTACCATGCTGTATAAATTGCTTTAAAATATTGTTATTCTGTTACATATAGCTGCTTGGAATAGCTGGCTATGCATCATTACTAACTGGCCCAACTGATGTAGTAACCAACAAGGTTTTGCAGTTGATTGGGCAAAAGCATGTTATTGAAGCACACAAAGCCCAATTACAAAATGAGATCACGGTATGTTACATATTGTTGATTCAAGTTTAGATTTTCCTACAAAAGGAAAATATGTTTAAATTAGGTACTAATTGGCGCATCCTTCCAGATATGATAGATCATTCATGAGTCTACAAACATTTGACATAATATATCTTTTTATCTGCAGCGCAAATACATCCGAGAGATCACAGTAGAGAAAGCCAGGAACCTGAAGGATTTCTGGTGTTTATTCTACCAGTGGAAGACGACAACATGGCCCACTGGTCTCTCACAAGATGACTGGCGTTTAATAAAACGTGAAGATTCTACAGCCTATGAAGAATACGAATATTAATTCCATAATTATTTAATTTGTTGTGTATTGTTTTAATATCCAAGTTGTTGTGACAAAATTAGCTAAATTATTAATTGTTTATTTTCGCTTTGTCCATTAGAAATATGTTAATGATTGAACAAAAGAGATGTAGAGATGTCAAAAGAAAGATGTCATATTTGCCTTTTGAAAAAAGTGTGTAACAATATGCATTTATTCACTATAATTTAATTAATAGCTGTCTGGTATTTAGATAAAGACTGCATGGAATTCAGGCTGAGGTGGCATAAGGATGTCCACACAGTTCTGGTATAATTATTAGAAAGATTTATTTATTCATTATATCTCAAATGCTTAATTACAGCACCTAGGAACTTTGCTCAATAAATTAAAATATATCACAGAGATATATCATATAAATGTATTATTCATATTATTTAAATGAACAACAAGAGAAACCGAAACATATATGATCAGTTTAAAATCCTGAACGATTTCAACAGTGTTGACAGATTTTGGAACAATTGAACAAAGATTTTGTGATCGACAATGGCACTAAAAGTTGTTTGAACTAACAGAAACAAACTTGTTTTAACAATGTTGTTACAACAAGTTAAAAAAGACTTGTAACAAGTTGTTGATGCCAACAAATTGTCAACAACTTGTTCGGACAAATTTGATAACATTTGTTCTCAACAAGCTTGATACAAGTTGTTCAAAAAACTCGCTACAAGTCTGCAAGCTTGTTGAGTCAGCAACTTGTCAACAAGATATGAGATTTTTACATGTGTATATTTAACTGCTAGATATACTGGGGGGCGTTTACTTTAATAAATATTGCATTAGAGCAATTGCTATTATAGGAAAAATTTTTGAAGTTGCGCTGAGCCAAATAATCTGATATTTCACTGTTAAATATACTGGGAGGCGTTTCTTTTAATTAACAATATAATAATAAACAATTCTACTGTTACATATACTCAGATGCATTTGGTCTAAGTTCCGCTGAACATTTTCTCGAATATTCTACTGCTAGATACATTGCTAGGCTATTAGTTTAATTAAGTGAATTGGAAAAAAATCTAAGGAAGAACACATTTTTTGAAGTTTTGAACAATGAAATAAACTGATATTCTACTGTTACATATACTGGATGTGTTTATCCTAATTAAACAAATACGAATAAATTCAAACAAAATCTTCTGAACTTCTACTGTTAGATACATTGCGAAGCGTTTAGTCCAAGGAACAATGTAACAGGAAATTCTAAATGATCAAATGATCTTATATATTTAACTGCTAGATATACTGGGGCGCTTTTTACTTTAATAAATATTGTATTAGAACAATTGCTATAATGGGAAAAATTTTTTGAACTTGCGCTAAACCAAATAATCTGATATTTCACTGTTAGATATATTGGGAGGCGTTTCTTTTAATTAACAATATAATCATAAAGAATTTGACTGTTGCATATATTAGAATCATAAAGAATTTGACTGTTGCAGACTATTAGTTTAATTAACCGAATTGGAAAAAAGTCTAAGGAAGAGCACATTTTTTGAAGTTTTGCACAACGAAATCAATTGATATTCTACTGTTACATATACTGGATGCATTTATCCCAATTAAACAAACTAAAATAAATTTGAACAAACTCTTCTGAACTTCTACTGTTAGATAGATTGCGAAGCGTTTAGTCCCATGAACAATGTAACAGGAAATTGTAATGAAGGAAACATTTTTTAAATTCCACAGGATCAAATGATCTTATATATATAACTGCTAGATATACAGGGGCGCATTTACTTTAATAAATATTGCATTAGAACAATTGCTATTATAGGAAAAATTTTTTGAAGTTGTGCTGAACCAAATAAACGGACATTTCACTGTTAGATATATTGGGAGGCGTTTCTTTTAATTAACAATATAATCATAAAGAATTTGACTGTTGCATATACTGGGACGCACATTTTCTCTAATATTCTCTTGGTAGATACATTGCGAGACTATTAATTTAATTAACCGAATTGGAAAAAAGTCTAAGGAAGTGCACATTTTTTGAAGTTTTGCACAATGAAATCAATTGATATTCTACTGTTACATATACTGGATGCATTTATCCCAATTAAACAAACTAAAATAAATTTGAACAAACTCTTCTGAACTTCTACTGTTAGATAGATTGCGAAGCGTTTAGTCCCATGAACAATGTAACAGGAAATTGTAATGAAGGAAACATTTTTTAAATTCCACTAGATCAAATGATCTTTTATATTTAACTGCTAGATATACTGGGGTGCGTTTACTTTAATAAATATTGCATTAGAACAATTGCTATTATAGGAAAAATTTTTTGAAGTTGTGCTGAACCAAATAATCTGATATTTCACTGTTAGATATATTGGGAGGCGTTTCTTTTAATTAACAATATAATCATAAAGAATTCTACTGTTACATATACTGGGACGCATTTGGTCTAAATAACTACATTAGAACAAATAACCGAAATGGAACAAAATCTAAGGAAGAGCACATTTTTTGAAGTTTTGCAGAACGAAATCAACTGATATTCTACTGTTACATATACTGGATGCATTTAGCCTAATTAAACAAATTAGAATAAATTCGAACAAACTCTTCTGAACTTCTACTGTTAGATAGATTGAGAAGCGTTTAGTCCCATGAACAATGTAACAGGAAATTGTAATGAAGGAAACATCTTTTAAATTCTGCTGGATCAAATGATCTTATATATTTAACTGCTAGATATACTGGGGCAGTTTTTACTTTAATATTGCATTAGAACAATTGCTATTATAGGAGAAATTTTCTGAACTTGCGCTGAACCAAATAATCTGATATTTCACTGTTAGATATATTGGGAGGCGTTTCTTTTAATTAACAATATAATAATAAAGAATTCTACTGTTACATATACTAGGATGCATTTGGTCCAAATAACCACATTAGAATAAAGTCTAATGAAGGAAATATTTTTGAAGTTCCTCTCAACATTTTCTCTAATATTCTATTGCTAGATACATTGTGAGGCTATTAGTTTAATCAACCGAATTGGAACAAAATCTAGGAAGAGCACATTTTTTGAAGTTTTGCACAATGAAATCAACTGATATTCTACTGTTACATATACTGGATGCGTTTATCCTAATTAAACAAATTAGAATAAATTCGAACAAAATCTTCTGAACTTTTACTGTTAGATACATCGCAAAGCATTTAGTCCAATGAACAATGTAACAGGAAATTTTAATAAAGGAAACTTTTTTAAATTCCGCTGGATCAAATTATCTTATATATTTAACTGCTAGATATACTGGGGGGCGTTTACTTTAAATATTGCATTAGAACAATTGCTACTATAGGAAAAATTTTTTGAAGTTGCGCTGAACCAAATAATCTGATATTTCACTGTTAGATATATTGGGAGGCGTTTCTTTTAATTAATAATATAATAATAAAGAATTCTACTATTACATATACTGGGACGCATTTAGTCTAAATAACTACATAAGAAAAAAGTCTAAGAAAGGAAATATTTTTGAAGTTCCGCTCAACATTTTCTGTAATATTTCACTGCTAGATACATTGCTAGGCTATTAGTTTTAATTAAGTGAATTGGAAAAAAATGTAAGGAAGAACACATTTTTTGAAGTTTTGCACAATGATATAAACTGATATTCTACTGTTACATATACTGGATACGTTTATCCTAATTAAACAAATTAGAATAAATTCGAACAAACTCTTCTAAACTTCTACTGTTAGATACATTGCAAAGCGTTTAGTCCAATGAACGATGATAATTGATGATAATTGTCTATTGCCATATGACAATTTGCCTGATAATTGCTTTATTTGCTGATTCCACAGCAATTCTAGATTGGGTGGAATATCTTTTCTGGTCGTATTTTTTAGAATTTCCCATGTGATCTTCTTCTTTCTCCTTAAATTTAGCCAAGTCATATACTAATGTATGATAACAATGTATAAAATAAGGGGTGTTCTCAGAGGCGGCGCCTCGGGGAGGACTGGGGGGGACATGTGCCTCCAAATCAATTTTCCAATTCATTCATAACCAATGAGAAATGGGGAGGGGGGTAATGTTGTGTTTTTATTTATATATTAGCAATATTTTATACAAAACAAAAGACAAAAGGTTGTGGCATTTTTATTTATATACTTTGACTATACCGAACTCATCACACAATGGTATACTTATCATTTATAATTAACTTTACATAAAACCAAAAATTTCCTCACGATTGCTCACTGATTTCTTGAATGTCTCACTCCTTTCTTTATTTTTATGTGTGTTCTCAGTTCTATTGTTCTCTAATTAACTTGACGCGTGACATTTGCCACGCCCAGCTTTTAATTAGATGTTATTCATGCATTTAGTATACAACTCCCCTAAAAATTTAGTCAATTTTTATAATGTCAACTCAATATGAAGTGTTCCTCATTTACTTGTCTCTGCGAGGCTCTCTGTTCAGTCTGCATCCTCGGTTTCTGCCAGTTCGCGTATTTTCTTTCTTGCTTCAATAGCTGCTCCCCGTTTCTGCTTTTCCTTTTCAACCGTCTGCTTGTTCTCGTTCTTCCTTTGTTCTATTTTCGTTGTGCAACGAATTTCGAGTGGACACACCAACTGTAACGGTCGTTCGATAGTATGTCCTTTGTGTAAAAGCACTACACCTCGTACTACTCCGTCCTTTCCTTTGACTTGTCGCACTACCCTTCCTTTCTTCCATTCGCTTCTGTTCTTTTCTTCTCCCACGACTAAAACTACTTTTCCGACTTCTGGCGCGTTAACTGGTTTTCCGTTTACTCTTTGACTTTCCATTAAACTGTGTATGTACTCTCGTTGCCATCTTTTCCAAGCATTGTTCTTTGCCCTGGCGATTCTCCTTTGCATCTTCGTAAGCTCATCATCGTCATTCTCTACGTCATTAATGAGATAAGTGTTTTTCCCTCGAATGAGAACATTTGGCGTTAGTACTTCTTCCTCCCCACTTTCGCTTTCGACATAAGTTAATGGACGATTGTTCATATTAATTTCTATGTCCATGAGGACCATTTCCAAATTCTCGAATGAAAGGTGCGTTCGTCCAAGAGTCTTATAAAGGGTCTTCTTTATTTCCCGTATCAACCTTTCATAGATACCTCCCCACCAAGGGGATTTAGCGAGGTTGAATCTCCAGTGTATACCTTGTGCTGCTAGGAAGTCGTGCAATTTTCACTCTTTCGAATGGCTTTAATTAGTTTCGCTGTCGTTTTGAATGTCGCTGCATTGTCAGATATCAGCAACCGTGGTCTTCCTCTCCGAGCGATGAATTGGTTGAGCTTTCGTTGGAATTCCTCGGCTTCTTGGCTTTTGTTAGTTCCAGGTGGATCGCTCGAGACGCCGCACACGTGAAGATTAACGTAGCACTTTCCTTCTTCTCTTACTGATCTTGTATTTTAACGGGCCGGCGTAGTCGACGCCGGTGACTTCGAATGGTTCGCTAGCTTCGGTTCTAAAGCTGGGCATGTTGCTCGTTAGCGGTGACCCATAGGGCTTCGTGGAATACAGCTTGCAGATATTGCAACTGTTGATTAATTTTTTCACCTTTGATCTAAGTTGTGGTATCCACCATTGTTCTCTCAACGCAGCCATGGTATTTGCGACACCAAAATGCTTGATCTTGCTGTGTGTGTGTGCTATTAGCTTTTCTACGAACAGTCCTCCGTCAAGGTATATTGGCTCGTATCCATTTACTCTTCCTTTACACTTGAGAACTTTCGTTACTTTGTCTTCAACGATTCTCCATCCAGGCGCTTGTAATTCAGGGTTGACACTTTGTTGTACTCTTCTTATCCAAGCGTATCTTGCGACACTAATTTCTTCGCTTACAAGTGGTCCCGACTGTTTCTGGTTTCGACGAACTTTTGCCAAACAGTTGTTTAGAAATCTCAACACCCACGCTGTTACTCGCAGTGTACGCCAGTATGTATTTCTTTCTAGCAAAGCGTCCCATTCGTCTGGCTCTCGTTCTTTCGTAAACAGTGCTTGCTCTTTAATCGGTTTGTATTCTTGACTGACAGATGTAGTTACTCTTAAAATTGGTTGTTCTGGCCATTGTTCTTTTTCTAATAACCAATCTGGACCGTTGAACCAGCTTCCGTTTTGCAATCTTTCCATGGTTGCTCCTCTGCTGCCTAGATCTGCGAGATTCTTATTTGACGGGCAATGCTTCCAAACGATACCGAGCTCGCTGGTTATCTCAGCTATCTTCTTGATTCGATTGGAAACAAACGTTTTCCAAGGTTTCCCTGGATTGGTTAACCAGTAAAGTACCACCATGCTATCTAACCAGATCACGATGGTCTTGATAGGTTGTCGTTTAAGAGCATTATGTAAATTCTTCGCCATGTTCGCAGCCATGTGAGCTCCTACAAGTTCGAGTCTGGGTATCGACGTGTTTCTTTTTGAAATCCGGGATTTCGATGTAAGCAACCCTTTGTTCGTTCCAGAAAAATGTTCAACTACCGCTATGGTTACTGCAGAACACGCGCCTTCGTTTCTTTTGAATTCCCTGTTAAGCTCCTCGGTACTTCCACGTTCTTTAGTTGTTTGTTCCATTTGTGCCACTGTTTCTTCAATTCTGGCAAAACTTCAGCATTCCATCCTTTTTTTTCTTCACAAGCCTCTCTATAAATGTGTTTTCCTTCGGCCATCGTGGGTGATATTATTCCCAATGGATCGTACACTTTGCCAAGCTGACTCAAGATACTTCGTTTCGTAACTGAATTAGTCTCGGGTAATGCTGGTACTTGTATTTCCAGAGTATCTGCTCGCCTGTCCCATACATGACCAAGCAGATTTGACGACATTCTTGCTCGTACCATGATATCCCACAACAGCGGTTGGAGGGAAGGCCCAGTAAACATACAATTATTGATACTGGATGCCAGTGGATGGGGTTTGGAGCTCGCGTCAAAAACCATTCGCACTTTGGTGGTTGATGCATCTTGCCTTACGACTGGCTTATGTGGCATGTAGTACACTCGCTCTCCTGATGGCTCGTCTGGGGCTTTCTCAATCACACCGCTTGCTAACTGATCCTCGATAATCTTCTCATACTCTTGCTTCAGGTTTTCATCTTTCGCCAACTTTTTGTTCACGTTGCTCAGTCGTCTTCTGCCTTGCTGTTCGTTTGTGGTTGTTAACTTACTCCCTGGAATCCATGGTATGCTGACTTTGTATCTGCCATCATCTTGTCTAGTTATGTTCTCTCGAAACTCAGCAAGCACTTGCATTTGGTCATTTTCACCACGATCTTCAACTCCGAGAACATCAAGACTATATAACTGTTCGTAATCGTTAACCTCTCTAGTGTACATACAGGCATCGCTCGAATAATTCTCACCACCATGAACAACCCATCCGAATGTTGTCTCTTCCACCAAAGGATCTCCAGGATTACCTTTGTAAACTTTCTCAGTTCGAATTCTGCTGTATGTGCCATCACCGAGGATGATATGAATTGGATGTTCTCCATCGCTGGTCATGTAAAATCCTTTGTCTTGCATATGGGTGTATTTCTTCTTGAGTTCATTCATATCTGGTCTTTTAACTGTGGTAAAATTTTTGAGTCTGGAACCGGTCAATTCAATATCTTCATGTACTTTCCCATCAAGAGAATTTATGGTTGTTTGGAAAATAGGCATGGCTTGAGTCGAGGTGCCAGTCACGGTTACAATCTCGTGGGATTCGTGATGTGTTGGATTCAAATTGAGTTTCTTTACAGCCTCGCGTGAAATAAAGTCTCGACCTGAACCAGTGTCGAGATATGCCCACAGGGTTTGTCCCTTTATCTTGACAGGTACAATGGCTGGAAGCGATTTCTCCTCAGTTATAGTGGTAAATCCAGTTACTAACTTGTTCTCCTGGTCATCTTCATTCTTATCACACAGGCTTGTGTGATGTCTGGCCTTACACTTCAGGCAACCACGACTTCGACATTGATTTCCCCTGTGCCCAGTGCGACCACAGTTAAAACACAGATTCTTCTCAGCAAAGAATTTCTTTCGGTCGGCCAATCGTTTCACTGTTTTGCATTGATCACTCCAGTGTTCATTATTCGAACAAAAAACACAGTGAGGTTTTGGGGGTCCAGATGACTTTTGATACCAGTGTCCTTCTGGTTTCTTGTATCTGGTTTCTTTCTGATTGCTCGTATCTTCCACTTTATTTCGTCGAAGCCACTTTTGCAAATTCAGTAATAGTACTTCCATGGACCATTCTTCCCAGTCATCATCTGCTCGAACCAAGTCAGCTTTTATGTGTGGCAACTTGTTGATAGTGGTCATAACAAATCCGGAAAGTTTTTCACCGTCTCCCAGAGTTTGAATTGCACCGAAATTCTTGCTTAATTTCTCATAGAAATCTTGCACCTTTTCATAATTATGCCCTCTCACTGGAGTTAAGTTAATTATTGCATCATTATTGATTTGTAGCTGCATGCAAATCTTAGGGAAGTGCTTTTCTCTTAGCACACATGCCTCAGAATATTTGCAGAGAGAAGACATGGATCTAACATCAGGAGTTACTGCTATTCAGGATCTGAAAGCAACGATTGCATCTTTTCGCACTGATGAACAGTTCGACTTGTTTATAAAAGAAGCCAATTCATTTGCCAAAAAATGGGGCAGCAAAGTCCTTGATGTTAGTTTTAGTGATGCAAGTCCAACAGCCCTACAAACCAAATGCCGCCGAAGACTCCGCACCCACCTTGCTGATGGCCAATCTATTTTAGATATGTCTACTCTGCAAAACACCTGACCAGATGGCGAGTCAGCGTTAGATTGTTTTAGAACAGAACTGTATTTTCCTTTCTTGGACAAGATACAAAGTCAGCTGGACAAACGCTTTTCTGAAACAGCATGTGAAATGATTAGTCTTTCCCCAACCTTCCATCCACAAAACCTAACTGAAGAAAATGTCCCTGAAGTTGAGAAGATAGCTCAGTTCTATAAGCGTAGCAGTCATCACGTTGGTCAACAATTCCTACTATTTTCAAAATCGAAGCAGTGTGATGATTGGAAGAATGCATACAAAAAACACAAGAACCATGTAAAGGAAAGAAAAGAGAAAGGCGTCAATGAAAATTCTCCAGTTACACCTTGGGTCTGTTTGCCTTCATTGCTTGATGCTTTCAGAGATGATGACCTACACCATCTTTATCCCGACTTGTTCGAAGTCATTAAGATCGTGGTTACATTGCCAGTAACAGTGGCATCATGTGAGCGCACACATAGCAAAGTAAAGATTATGAACAATTATTTGCAAGCTGCCATGTCACCTGAGAGACTTGAAGATCTAGTCCAGATAAGCTGTGAATGAGATGTGGCTGATGATGGATATGACTATGCACTTAAACTCTGTTCTTTAAAGTGTTTATGTAGATCATATCTTATTTACCTACATATAATGTGAATTCAATACAGTTTTAAAAGTTTTGTGAAAGTTTAACTCATTCTTGACTCTTTGTAGAAAGCTGGTCATCTTACTTTTAGGCTTAAGTGGCATAGGGTTTCAGAAAAAAGACTTCTCAAAACGCAGGAAAATGCATTTAAGAGACTCTCAGCATTTAACAGACTCTCAGCAAAACGCATTTAAGAGACTCGAAAAGTCTTCCCCACCCTTGGGCGCCCCTGCCGTGTTTTTGTTATCAACATACATAACGTTGTATCCTACTTTTTTCAACTGTTTCCTTTTGCTCCCGATTGTTTCCTTCAGGCCAGACTTGGCCAAATACCTTAGGTTACACTTTTCGTCTGGAACCGTTGCCGAAGCACTTGCTCGTTTCGCCTCTAGATTTTGAAAAAGTTTTGCCACATATCAACGCTCCTTGCATGACTTCCGGGAACGAATTTTCACAAGTGAACAAGATGTTGAGATCAACCTTTCGTGTTTTCCAGAATTGTCTGACGTCACGGTTGAAATTTTTGACCCCTTCACGAGAAGCTTCAGACAAGAAGTTTCATCCACGCTAGTCATTTCTCTTCCCATGCAGGGCGAGGTCAACTAAAGAAGACACATAGCTTCATCAATATTTTTCAAGTCTATGACCACATTTTCCATTCTTTTCAATCTTGTGAGAGCTATTTTTCCAACATAGGTACTTAGAGTTAGGGTAGGGTTTGGGTTCAAATTGATTAACTATTTTGTAAACCAGGCGTTTGTCATCCACGGTAATAGCTTTGTCGGGGTCGTTGTTTGTAAGATACATCAATCTGATGCATTGTTTGTCCACACAAGATGTGTCTACCACCCAGCCAGGACGATCAAATTGATTGGATAATTTCTATGCTTTGTTCAGTGAGGGTATGAATGACTACTCTGCATTCCAGAGAGGATAATTTGTTGCATGCTCTTCTTCGTACGTTTTGGTAAGATACGTCACTTTTCTCTACCTTTCCTTACCAAATGTCCTTGATTAATATCCCCAATGTCTGGCAGTTGAGATTTTCCCGATCAGTCTGAGCGCTTTCTAGCATTTGCGATACAGGCACAGAAGAACCCATATAGTGCTCATAATTGGCAACAATCCTGAATTAAATAAACCGCCGAAAGAAAGGATGGAGCTTGAAGTGAACCAATTTCGACTATGTTATCAGTAGTTTATTTAAGTGTGTGGAATATGTAATTATGCACAATTCTTTACACCAAAATTTCGGCTGTGTAACTTTCAAGTTCAACAACTGGCTTGTACTTCTAGTTTCATGTTTGTTTTGTTTACATTCATGAACTTGCCATATATAATAAGTACATATATCAGTATTATTTACATGCAACTCCGTCAGTTTTTAACCTTGCGTATTTAGGGAGCAGTCATTATTAATGCCGGGGGGTGGGCCGGAAGATATTTGGGGGTGGGGCCACCAAAAATGTAGTAACCACTTAGGGGGGGCTACAAAAAATTCCAGAGAGAAGTAGGGGGGGCCACCAAAAATTAATGCATTATTTAATAATCATGAAACAACAATTCTGAACAATGAAATGCATAAAATACTAATTAGTCCAAATCAGAATCCGAGGTACATGAATGTTCACTTAATTTTTTGGCGTTGCCAAAAGCTGTAAGAAGTGACATCTGATTTTTCTTTGGTGATGCTGAAATGATCAATGGTTTCTGCCAGAAGTTCATTGTTCCTGAATGCATTGTACGAAATGTCCTTGACGACTTACATTACAAAGAAGCAACACGAGAAACCCGGAAGAAAGAAAAACAAAATAGAAGAGATGCAGAACAGAAACAAAACTATGATGACATAAACTGGCTGGAGATTGTAAAAAAGGGAACAATTAACAAATTAATGGTCAGCACTCTTGATAAATACTTGACAAGGCATAATATGAAAGGCTGCTACAAGCTGAAGAAGAAAGAGAAAGTTGATGCAATCATCAATCATGTGAATCTCCTAGTATTTCAAAACTCTGGTTTGAATGCAGAAAATGTTGGTAATGCTGAGGACAGTAGTAGCAGCTCGGATACAGATGATGAAAATGATGAGGTATGTATCTTGCAGTATATTAATTAAAATCAATAAATCGATTTATGGTAGTTCATTATGAGCCATGAGGTAAATATTTGCAGGTCATCACATGCACCGTTCAGGAAAATGATGCTGATGATGATGATGATGATGCACCAGAGGAGGATAATGATCAAAGTGATACAGTTGAGAACTTGTTTGCAACAACAAGGAGTACATGGCAGATTAGCTGGAAACTGGAGGTGCTCAATGTACATTGGTATAATTATTTATACATATGTTGACGTTAATCCTGTTCTTACATGTATTTATTTAATACTAGATATTTTTAATTAATCATGCAAAATCTATTGTTTATGGTGTTATTTTTTTCTAGCTCAGAGCAAAGACAGATGAGTATGTGTAGAATGGGTAATACAGTACATGTTGTAAGGTTTGATTAAATTTAAATTAAAGTGTCTTTAAAATATTTTGATAGAATAGTAATTACATATAAACACAAGCGGGGGGGGGCTATGAAAAGTTAGTTGATCTAACAGGGGGGGCCATAAATTTTTTCCTTGAAATAGTGAGGGGCCATGAAAAATTTACCACAGGTAAAGCAATATCTTCTGGCCCACCCCCCGGCATTAATAATGACTGCTCCCTTATATAAATATTTTATATATTTTTCCGGATATATCTCGGACATTTCTCAATAGTTTATAGTGCAGTGTGCAAAAAAATTATATATACATACCTTGATTAAATATTATAGACTTTTAAAACAATTTTTTCTCATCAACTTTGAAATTATTTATAAAAAAACTAAGTTAAAAATTATTTTCCGTGCACTTTTATTAGTTATAGACCTTGCCAGACATTTAATAATAAGCGGTTCGTCCCCCCGGTTTCCCATCAAATTTTACCCAAATCTCGTTCAAATACCTCACAGTGTCAACCTCGTACCTTACTTTTAGTTGATTGATCGATTCAACAAATATGGGCTCTGTTTGAGTTTTTCTAACAAATATGTTGTGCTTGATGATATTGGAAAACATTTCTTGGATCGTGCTGTTGAGTTGGTTAAATCTGGGATGAAATTTGTCTATGTGGTTGATAACATAGATTAGGAAGAGAAAGTGCATGACATGAGAGCAGATCACCAAAACAAGAGTGCATGCATGTGCAACTAGCATGGTGTTCAACAGAGTGCCAAGTGACCACTTACCTGACAATGGGCCCCAGAAAGATATCGCAACTTGCAATTTTCGGGAAATTGTTTCATTGTCTGGTGCAGAAATGGCAACAATTCAGAATCGGTATAAAGTATTCATTGCAAGAATCCTGGTTCAAAAGTTCACTGAACTATTTGGTTTGAAGTCCTACATTCCAGAGGATCTTGTACTTCATGAAAATTCTGAGAAGACAGCTTTGAAATCTGAAATTATGACCCTTCTAGTTCTTATGAAGGATGAAAAAAAGTACAGTGACTGTGTGGATGTTTTGGATCAATTGGAGCAATGGACAGAGGATGTGTGCAAAGCTAGTGGCATATACAACTTTGATAAATCTCCATCTACAGCTTCCGATCCTGTTGTTCAGGTGCCCACACGCCCAGATCAACCACGATCGCATATCCCACCAGTTGGTTCTCAAACTGACCCTTTAGAAGGTGTGAAAATTCCCTGTTTTGGTGATGAGTTGACCAGAGTAAGGTTTGCTGGAGCACGAGATATTCGCTCTGGATGCCATACACCTAAACAACGACTGGATCATTTGTACCCATGTCGCATTGTTGGATGGCATGCTAAAAGAAGTTTCTTAAAGGTAAATTCCTGGTCATGAATATGATTTTCCTGTTACAAAATTGTGTTACATTACTTTTTTATATCATTGACACTACCAGCAGTTGTTTATAATGCTGAAAGGTTTTAAAACACATTTTGAACAAATTTATTTGTTTTTGTTTCAACCTAACATATCAAAACCTCAAAAAAAGCACTCTCAGGTTTTTCAGGAAGAATTAACCAAAGCTAGATTTGATTTTT